TTATAAAAATAAACATAAAATATTATTCGAATATCGGCCTATTGAAAATTATTATTACTAGAATGTTTCATTTATTTTATTTTACAACTAAATAATGCAACCTGTAAACATTATTTAACAATAGGACGTATTAGAGGTAATATTATAAAGACAAGACCATGATCTTATTTGTGTGAAGAAATCACAATGTCGACTACATAGGATGGTGCCTTTTCAATTCAGTAAAGAGATTCGAGTTCTTTGGCTACTTACTACTATGTTTTGTAGGAAGCAGAGTTGTATTTAAAAATTTCAGTTTCTTGTAATTAAATTAACTATATTTGCAATTATTTCAACACTAAAACCCAATTAAAAAAAAAAAAAAAAGAAGCACACAATTAAAAATCTGTGAATATAACCTAGCAAAAGTTGCCCAAAAACTCATATATCATTACAGAATTGGACCTGCCTAAGTAGTCGAATTTTTATTGTGTGACAATACATTGTTATGATTGAAGAATAGAAAATAGAGATGGCATGTATTGTATAGTGTTTGGATGTTCATTTTTTACTCGTGTAGATCTGTTCACATACAACTATGGCTCGCTGTAAAATAATGTGTAATATTATTACAAGCAAGTTAAATAGTATCGACGTTAGACTATCAGATACCTAGAGAACGTATTGGGGTTTAAGTTATTTTTGGCCGAATGTAAATAATTGAAATTCCTTTAGATTGGCCAAATCAGAACTGTAAACATGAAAAAAAAAACAATAATCGAAGAGTAACAGCTAGACATTAAGTACAACATTTAACACGCACAAGTGTTTATACAAATAGCTGTTAAGTCAATTGAACTCATTCGAATTTGGGAAATTGCAAATGTGTTATTAAAACACAGTTTCGTACATGCTTTCGTGTGTGGTTTGCTTCGCCAAACGATCGAACGTCTTGTATACTTAATAACCAAACAGCTTTAACAAAATGTATGTAAGCGCAGACTCAAATCTTAGTTTTAAGTATGTAAATTATCAGCTTGAGATCAAAGTATGGTAACCTAACCTAACCTATGGAAACCAACGAGGGTTTCTTCGAGTCGATAAAAAAGATAAAAATTTAATGATTTTAAAAGTATTTTCAAAAAAACCCAAATTTTTTTAAGTGAAAAATACAATTAAAAACGTATAAACCGATAAAATAAAATATAAATTATTAATATTACCACTTTACCAAGAGGTCGTTAATTCGCATTGAATGAATAGGAATAGGAAAGATTTCGTATAAAAGCCATTTATTTAAACTGTCAAGCTACTAACAGCTACTTTAAAGAAAATTATTATTTTATATGTTAGACATTAAATCCCGCTGAAAAAAAACGCAAACATTAGTATAATTGGCAACAAAACGATTCCCGTTGTATTATATTACTATTGTCCTAAAATTATCAAAATTAAAATCAAAAGACAGGCGGTTGATTAAGTGTCTCTTGATTTATTACAAACAACAATAATTACAAGGTATAATGTATTGTTGGTTTTCAGCATCAAAAATAAAATTTATTCATTTAAATTTAAAAAAAATAACGCCTTTTAATTACTGTAAAGTTATCTTGTCTTTTTTATATCGGAATGAAAATAAAAATTGTTAAATATTTAATTAATACTTTTAAGAGGACGCCACACCATCTAGTTATTAACTAAATATAAAATTTGGGCATATTATCGATAAAACTTGTTTTGAAAACTGTTTTGTAAAATGATTTCGTTCATACACAGTGAAAGAAAATTCAAATTTGTTTACAAAAACATGTAATTTTATTATACTAAACCAAATTTAAGCCTACTTTAGAGGTTTTTATCTTCCTAAAAAGAATTAACGATTGTGTGTAAAACCGATATAATATTATAACTGCCGTGAGTTAACTAATTTAAATTAAACTGATTCGCTTAAAACAACGTACATTGAAGTAGTAAGTAGTTAAATTTAAAATATAATATACTAAAGTACACGTGCACGTTTGCGTTAGTAGTTAGATCACATTTCACTGGTACGCATACATTTCATTTGAATTAAGTTAATAAGGAATTATAATGCATACATAAACATGTTGGCAACGTGCATTACATCAATGCAATTATATATTATATATAACACTACAACGACCACAAGGAAAGTTAATTTTAATAGTTCAAATGCTGATGTTTGTTAAACTTATTTCGCATCGATTCAATTCGGATTAACGGCTGCATGTTGATTAAATTGAACATGTCATTAAGGTATGCTGCACTTTTTTACTTTTATTTAATATGTTCCTCAATTATAACATAGTTGCAGTTCATACGGTAAATATTTAACAACAATTTATAATACAGATTTTCTTTTATGTTGTTGTAGACTTATAACATTCAAACAGAGTAATGTTAACTATTAACATTTTTTTTTTTGAAAACTTTAATGGTTACTTAAAAGCAATTTATCATAAGAAAAATTGAATTTTAAAATAAAACTATAAAGTATAATTACAAGCACAACAACGAGGATACTTTATTAAAATGTTATACATTATTTTTTTACTAGATCATCACAACCGTCATTATAAACGTTTTTTGTAAAAAAGTGAGTCTCGCTTCCCCAATATAACATTGCAAAAAAATAACGTAGACAATACTTATTTTGCTTTTTAAAAAATAGAAAACGTAAACTGGGTTGTTCCGATAAATTTTCTTCAAGAGTTTCAAAGTTCAAGTCTACAATTGAGTTTTAAAAAAAAATTTTATTCTAGTGTTTAGCATAGAAAAAACCAAAAAGTAATCATAATAAACCAAAAAAATGATCGATTATCGCCACATAATTGTTCAATAATGTTCAGATATGTGTACAGAATTAGCACCGTTTTAAACAAACGAATATAAAAATATGAAAGAAATTGTACTAAAAATATTTTATACATATTTCATAACGCTAATGGTAATTGACACGTGTTTATCATACTTTACATAACAAAAAACTAAAGATTTAATCTCTTCTTGATTTAGTTGTTTTATACTAATACATATACCTATTATGGTTTTCAAAAAAAAAAAAAAATATGTAATTATTAATTCTTAAATAATAATTAATTTCTTAAATCACTTATCTGTTTCAAATTAAGCCCATATAAATTGTGAAACTTGAATAAAAATCTGTATTATAAACTATTGTTAAATATTTACCGTATGAACTGCAACTAAGTTATAATTGAGGAACATATTAAATAAAAGTAAAAAAGTGCAGCATACCTTAATGACATGTTCAATTTAATCAACATGCAGCCGTTAATCCGAATTGAATCGATGCGAAATAAGTTTAACAAACATCAGCATTTGAACTATTAAAATTAACTTTCCTTGTGGTCGTTGTAGTGTTATTAATATTAATATAATAATAATATATTATATTGAGTGACAATTTGGTTAGCATTTTTCACATGTCAATGGTAACGTCGGTGTTTGATTTAATTCAATTTGAGGAGTCGGCTTAGATAATAATTTATTTGCATTGAGTTAATGCACGTTGCCAACATATTTATGTATGCATTATAATTCCTTATTAACTTAATTCAAATTATATGTATGCATACCAGTGAAATGTGATCTAACTACTAACGCAAACGTGCACGTGTACTTTAGTATATTATATTTTAAATTTAACTACTTACTACTTCAATGTACGTTGTTTTAAGCGAATCAGTTTAATTTAAATTAGTTAACTCTCGGCAGTTATAATATTATATCGGTTTTACACACAATCGTTAATTCTTGTTAGGAAAATAAAAACCACTAAAATAGGCTTAACATTTGGTTTAGTATAATAAAATTACATGTTTTTGTAAACAAATTTGAATTTTCTTTCACTGTGTATGAACGAAATCATTTTACAAAACAGTTTTCAGAATACATTTTATCGATAATATGCCCAAATTTTGTATTTAGTTAATAACTAGATGGCGTGGCGTCTTCTTAAAAGTATTAATTAAATATTTAACAATTTTTATTTTCATTCCGATATAAAAAAGACAAGATAACTTTACAGTAAATTAAAAGGCGTTATTTTTTTAAAATTTAAGTGAATAAATTTTATTTTTAATGTTGAAAATTAACAATACATTATACCTTGTAACTATTATTGTTAGTGATAAATCAAGAGACACTTAATCAACCGCCTGTCTTTTGATTTTAATTTTGATAATTTTAGGACAATAGTAATATAATACAACGGGAATCGTTTTGTTGCCAATTATACTAATGTGTGTGTTTTTTTTTCAGCGGGATTTAATGTCTAACATATAAAATAATAATTTTCTTTAAAGTAGCTGTTAGCCCCTACATAATACTATACTAGTCGATACTTTGCCGTTCTCATGCACGGTTGACGGTATCGTTTTAGGACATCTCTCAAATGCCCGACTCTCAATCAAGATATATATAATGTATGTATTTCTCGTCCCGCATTGTGTGTGTTCGTATTTATTTGTATCCGTCCATTTCTCAAACAAAAAACACAACACTATAGTGGTCGTTTAAAAAAATGTCGGTCCGTGGATATGCTATAGCGGTGTATGCTTGAGAAATGTACTCTCGGCTGTTCATTTTTACCATTAAAATGACAAAAAACTCACATGGGAAACGGTTGTTTATCAACTCGGCCGCGTTAAACCCCGACAATGCCATCGCACACTGTATTGGCTGTGTGCAGTTGCTGTCGTCTACAAGTTCCAGTGTAACTTTTGTTAAATAAATCTGTAAATTGAACTTTTCCTACTGCGATGATATTCGCAATTACCACGATATGAGTACTATTCAATAAACGTATAGGGTTGACCGCTAACCGTGGTTTATAATATAAAACTGTTTGAACTGAACGTCAAGATTGCCAACACGATGGCGACCATCTCAACTAACACATATATATACATATATATATATATCTTTGGCTATAGTTTTTTACTACACTAACAGTGGGATTTTTTTCGTTTTTAAAGTTCCAGGCCGCGCTGCTGCAAAAATGGAACTTGCCGTCGTTCATGTGCGCCTTCTGTCCATTCATCTACGTGCTGTCGATCACGGTCAGTGTATTCACACTAACGGCCATCGCAGTCGACCGACGCCAAGCAATATTGAATCCGTTCGCGTAAGTACATTAAGCTAGTTTGGATTTTGTAAATAGTAAAATTAAAAAAAAAATTCAAAGAGTTGAGATCTCGAAAAAAAAATAATAAAAACTATTATTTTCTCCACTCGGAGGTAAAAAAATTAATCATGGATATGTTTTTCCGGTTTATTGTAGTACATACCATTTATCTCTTATCACATAAATATTATCTCTTGGTACTTATCTCTTATCAGTCATCTCTTAGCGTAACGACAAAATACCGATGTGAAATTTCTTGTATCCAGCCCAATAACATAATATCTTTAATTTTTGCCACCTAAATGTTTTCCATCTCAGACAACTGTGTGACGGTCAGACCATGTCTACATTTTTAAGAACGAAATTTATTTTTAATAGGTATTTCTCAAAAACAACTGTTTTCACGGACGAAACGTTGCTAATGGACAAAAGTTTTAATTTTGATATTCAAAATCCCATTGGAAAATACTTCACAGAAATCCGTTAGATGTCGATGGATATAATAAACGTTATTTTGTAAAAGACAAGTTGTTACACCTTATAAGATCAATTGCGTAGCGGTGTTTATCATTAATAATTGTACTAGCCATTTTGACAGAGTCGAAGATTTAAGTTGAAAAAAAAAACATATCTGATTAATGTCTTCAATGCGTTAATGTTTATCGCTTGTTTTTTTTTTTTAATCCGAAGAAAATTTAATCGATCCCGTTAATTCCATTAATATTACTTAGGCACCTCGTTAAATTGGAAAATGTAAATCGGTTTCCATACATCTTGCTAACACAATCATTCGATAATCTTAATTGCTTTGCCATTAAATTAATGGCGATTCCATTTTATTGCGGTCTATCATTCGCGTTCGTTATTCAAAAGGCCTAATCAAATTATTCCACTTGGATTTAATTTAAAACGTTTCAAAGGTATGATATGCTATATTTAGATGTAGGTTTCTTAATCACGTACACCAATCGACACTTTAACTCCGCTACCCAAATTAATAATTATTTTCGGAATGATTTTTTCAAAATAATATATTGTTACTATAACATTAAACAAAATAAAATTTATATATTGTAATGAGAGTTGAGTTTTGTGATAGGTATGTAATTTTATGTTTATTATCAATTAAACAAATACAATTGATAGATTAAAAAAAACACGAGTTGATTAAATTAAATGTTAACTAAAACCGATCAAATGAGTTAACCTTAGTTTGCATTTTTACATCAAAAGTTTTTTTTGTTTAATATTATTTATGATTTTACCATAAATCCGCCCATGAGATTAATCTGTTTGCCTTAGGCTCAGTTTAGGTTATTTTAACTATGACTTGGTCTTTTCCTTTTATAATATTTTGTTTTTCGGTTGTATGTTTATTTAGTTACATCTTAGCGAATTAGTCCTTTAACGATTAGTGCGGTGCTATAGGGTACTTCAACGTATTGACGTTTAGGTCGCAAGGAGCTTTGTGAGCTTCTACGACGTTAAGTCTTTGTTTGCTGATACAACAAGACACCAAGAATCAACTACGAAAGCGTTGGTTAATGATGATTTCCTACAAAGTGAAACAAAGAGAAGATGTCAGTTTATTTTGCTCATGTCAGCGTGCGCTTAATTTATAACCATTAGCTTTCCCGTACTTCCAAAAAGATCTCAGTGCTCGCCTGTATAAATAATACCATCCATATTATTACTTAGGTCGCTTTCATCCTGATTGTGGCAATTTCGGAACCGTGTGAAAACCTATACTATTTTCAAACAAGACACGTTTGTAATTTTCTGAAATAGTTTCATTAAATTCATCATGCTTTAATTATTAGTTTAAGAGTAATGAAAATTTCATAAAAAAGTGTTAAATTGTTATTCACTAAAACCAAAACAAACAAGGGTTACATCATATTACGAGGAGAATTTAATATTCAAACATTTTCTCACTAAACACTTTAATTTTCATCCTAAATATAAAGTAAAAATAAAACGAGTATTATGTATTTAATACCTGTAACATAATATTAAACATTTTTTTAAAAATGTTACTTCTTTTCTTATCTAAGTTATCTTTTTTCGATCACTTTTTTTTTATATCTGAACTTAACATTTATTCAAGACCTGGTGTTCTAAAAATATGGCCGCTTGATTTTGTTTATAACTTTATGTAACTGTTTCGATCTCATAAATTCAGTGTTACTAAATAATTTCTAATACTCTAACCTAGTGTAAATTTTTATTTATTGGCCTACATAAAAAATATTATAACTTTTTAAGATCTTATGAACGTTTTTATAGTGTAAATTATATCAATAATTTCATGTTTGTAATTGAAGAAAAAAATTATTAAAAAACCTAAAATTAATCATTATGGCATATCTTAAAAGTTTGTACTTAACTAAATATTTAAGCAATGTACGCGCGCATTTTTTTTAAAACACATCTTTTGAATTTTTGGAGAATTACACATATGTTGCCGTGTCACGTTTGTTATTTTAAGGCAGTTCATTATTAAAATCATCCAACAGCTGTTAAAGTTTACTACGACAATTATCTTATAGGCCATGCAAAAATGTGCTCAGGAAAATGCGCAGCAGTACGAAGTATGTAAATTTGCTCGGCCATTGACCTCGTAGATAGGGTCTGGGTCAGAATAGATTTATCCATAGCATGTGATATAAGACATGAGAGAAAATCAGCTGATTATAAAACATATTATTCATGATCTAGCAATGTGTTTCCTTCAAATGAAAGATTGATTTTTTTATTTTTTATTGCAGAGCTCGAACGTCAAAAAACCAATGCCTATGGGTGATTGGGGCAATATGGATCGCTGGGTTGATACTGAGTTCGCCGATGGCTTACACCCAACGCGTGGTCTACGTGGACGAAGACTGGCCTTTCTGCAAGAACGTTAACCTGTCCGAGACGGATATGCTCGTGTACAGAGGACTGCTGGTCATCGTCCAGTACGTTATACCGCTGTCCATTATGACTTGGGCGTATTCCGGGATAGGATTCGCCCTGTGGGGATCGTCGGCTCCGGGAAACGCCCAGTCGCAAAGGGATTTGAACCTGATGAGGAACAAGAAAAAGGTGAGCGCGCAACGTTATCCGTGACTTTGTGATTGTTGAACATAAAAAAAAAATGTTACAAACAAAAATATACTAGCCAAAAACACAAATTAAGTATTATAATATTTGCAGTGTACAAAAACGAACAACGGGAATGAGTTATTTTATAATTTGAAATCCTTATTTAATATTAATAATAATTATTAAAGTTTTTGTCTTTGGATTTGGTTATGATTTAAATAATATAACTCCCAAAAATGTGATCTCATATGACTTATCAATTTGTTGATAAAATATATTTCACATTTTGGATTCATAACACATGACTGCAAAGTCGACAATTTCTAGGCTATTCGGTTGTCTTTTGTTGTTCGGTTGTACTTACACATCAAGCTAAGAGTCTCGCTATGCGATTCAATAAATCAGGGCCCGCCGTTAAAGTTTAGCTCTTTATGCGCCTGTAAAGTGTACCGTTCTCGCAATCAGTAAATTCCTTTGTAGCTCTTTGTTCTTTCATTTTGGAAAACCCTTTCCGATTTTCTACGTCCAAAAACATTCTACTTACGCATGACATATCAAAAAGTATTTATCCGCTTAACGATAAGAGTTCTGCATTTTTTCGGTAAATTCCTACACTACCGTCGGTTGTTTTCAATAAAAATTCGCATAAAAAATACCACCACTGTTGACTACAATATGTTTATTTATTGTTTGTTTAAGGTCATTAAGATGTTGATCATTGTCGTGGCGCTGTTCACGCTCTGTTGGTTGCCTCTCCAAACGTACAACCTACTTCAGCATATATTTCCACAAATCAACGAGTGAGTAAAAAAGAATAACACAATAAAGTCTTTGGGCGAAATCGGTTTAACAGTGGTTGGAAATGATTTTTTCAGATATCCTTACATAAATATCATATGGTTTTGTTTCGATTGGTTCGCAATGAGCAACAGCTGCTACAATCCGTTCATTTACTCCATTTACAATGTAAGTACAATATTATTAACTTTTTATTGGTTTCAGTTTTAGAATGCTTATTTGCTAAAACAAAATATTAAGAATAAACATTTCGATAGTAATCTACGAATTTTTTTTATGACGGTCGCTTTTTTTAGCTTCATTGGACAACTATAGTAATTACAACAAAAAAATATCAATACTAAAATTATGTATATTTAAACGTGGTAAAGATGATTTCAAGTGATATTTATAATTTTATTAAGAAGAGCAACATGAAAATAGATTGTTGAACAAGCACAGTAAGGTTAGGCTTCAAATTTTTGAGACACATCAAATGTAAAGTGCTATATGACACAAAAAAATTGGGGTTTTCAATAACTAATGAAATGCTACACAACGCCATCAAATTGTTACCAACTTATATTATTGCTAATTTACCCAATAAAATGAACTTAATCAGCACAAAAATATATATGTTCTACAACATATGTTCTACTTTACCAAATTTGGTAAAACTGAAAAAGTTTATTCTTTTCTAAAATTTTGCTAGTTGTTGATATACATAAAAATTGATATATATATATATAGATGAAAATATCACAAGAAAGAAAACTTGTATGTAATAGTTTAGTATTTCAGTAAGAACCAAAATAGAAAATCATAAGAAGATGTCGACTATGATAAGAAAAAAAACTAAAATATATTGTTCAAACTGAAAAACTAAAAAAATTATAACTAAATTATAAGAACAAAATTAAATTACATAAGTCATATACAAGCAAAAAAAAAAATGTACACATAAGTTTCATATTTCCATAAAATAACTTAAATTAATACTATAAGAGTATAGACTACAAAGTAATTATTATAGTCACCCTACATTCCTAGTTATGTAGATTTTTAACATACGCCTAATTAAAGGTTAATTAACTTTTGTATGTAACGAAAAACTTTTGTTAAACAATAAATATTGCTTATATAAAGTAAATTATACATTCAAAATAAATACGGATGTACTCCAAAAACAAAAATAAATTATCTCTTATCATTTATCTTTTGTCTCATATCTCTAAGCTCTTATCATGTATCACATAGAGATAAGAGACTTGTCTCTTATCACTTACATCTTGTCTCTAACTGAAAGCGTAACGCGAAAGTGGCGACATGAATTTTCATGTATCCAGCCCAATCACATATCCATGTCAACACGATAATACAATAACAATACCGATAAATCAATTGAATTTGTTCTCGAATGACAATGCATCGTTTTAAAACGAAATCCGTTTAAACGTGCTAAAAAAATACTATTTTTTTTTTGTTTTTAATTTAAAAAATGTTGTTTGTCAGGAAAAATTCAAACAGGAGTTTAAAATGAGACTAGACTTTATGTCGGGCAGGAGGCGTTTGACTAGAAACCTGAGCGCGTTCTCGAGCGGCAGGTTCGAATGGCGCACAAACCACGTGAACATTCATGACCGAAACAATAAGAAAAGTTCCATCGTTACCAACGACACTCCGCTTATGCTCACTCCTGAAAACTGAATGTATGTGGGATGTCACATGATATACGGTTACATTATTGTCATCATTCTTGTATTGGAAGTCAGCAGAGAGACGGCGGGGCGGCGGCTCGACTTTGCTGTTAAACGCATGCGGACAACCGCATGAACATCTTCTCAACTGTGTAATCGACTTGCTATTCCCTTTGTATCGTTTACCGTTTAACTAATATCGTCTAAGCAAACACTGTAATACCGTTGTCAGGTTTTCGATTGTGTAAATATTAATAGTGTATTATAACGACGTACCTACCTATCTACCTACCTACCTACCTACCACGAACAATGTACCATATCCAAAGTGCGTAGTACGGCGTAACCGAATGCCCTTGTCTCGAGATTCTCAGGCCGGGCATTTTTTAAAAAAATTTTTTTTTTTTTTTTGAGTGATATTTTATGAATTTCATATAGTTTTATATTATCAAAATATATTTAAATTATTTATGAATTTTCAACCCAATACACGATGGGTTGTAATATGTACAATATTTGTTTTGACAGCCCTGTTTGTATGTAATTGCGAACAACAATTATTATTGTCTATGTACCTATTTAATTTGAAGTCAAGAAAATAAATAATTAAAAATACATAACTGTTGGTGTTTTCTTTATTTTGAAACAATAACAATATTGATTCACGGGCAACATCTTAGGTACTCGAGTGTGCCTACACTTCTGGGCGGTCAAGTCCGATTTTAACCGCACAATTTAGGTATGACATTTTAAAACGACCCCAAAATAACAGGTGAAACCTCGTTTAGAACAAAACGCACTTGACCGATCTAGTCTGAATGCCAATACAATAAAAAAAAAATGTATATAATGTTCTAGTTTCAAAACTACTATGATTTAAGCGCCAAGCCGAATTGCAACGATGCAATAAAATAGCTTCGAAAAAAAACGAAGATTATCCGCAACAGAATAATTATTTAAATTTAAAAAAAAAAACCTATACAGAAATTAGTGAACTTTTCCCTCGAAGCAGGTGGTCCACAAAGGCAAGCCTGGTAATAGGTAGGAACTGTTTTATTATGTACGCCAGTCGACAGCAGCTGCCGACACAGTAACTGAATTTTAATGTTAGTCACAAAGAACTTTATTTTTCCTTTATTAATTAATGCCGAGGAACCGTGGAAATATCTTATATTAGCTCGACCGGATAGTGGCTCGAGTCCGTACGGTCACGTAGAGTGTGTCTTATAAAAATAAATAAACTTACTCGCTTATTAAAAAATTATGTTAATATTTTTGAAACAAAAAAAATCCGACATTTAGTAGTTATGGACATTTTTCTAAACGGTCTGAATCATAATAATAATATAATATGATCTGGTGGCCTAACCAAATCTGTTATGAATATTGTTACTCATATGACGACAATAAAATGATTTTTTTCCAATGTTTTCTTAAATTAAAAAAGGAATTTTAATAATCTTAAGCGTATTGCTTGAAAAAAATTAATAAATTAAAATTACTTGGCGCCGGCAGAGTAGAAAAACAATATAATGTAACGTGATATAAATACAGGGTGATTCAAGGTTAAGACACTCGATGGATGTAAAAATAATTTCAATTTTTTAGTTTTATTTTTGGAGGCACTTTAGGTCAATATTTTGTCTTACAATATTATACACTATTAAAATTGCTATCATTTTACATTTTTTCCAGAAGTCTATCGACTTTTACAGCTTAAACGGTAACGTATGTATTTGGTTAATTTTTTTAATTAAAAATAGTTTGATGGGAATTATTTGAATTTTTGTATTTATCTAGTAAACCAATCGTTTATTTACTAGAGTGAAGTGGGTGGTTTTTCTTGGGCGAAGTGCAATAGTGAACTTAGTTCGCAGTGATCTCCACGGGTGTTATCCGTTTTGTTTTTCATCAACATTAGTCGATGAACATTTTAATTTTAGTAAACGATATTTTAGCGGTTTTATCAAAGTGAGTTGATATATTGTAGTCATGCGATCCGAGGACCCGTACACGGTTTTTTATGTTTTTTTTTTTTTTAATACTAATTTTGATTGTAATATTAAACAGCGAGCTTTTAGGTTTTAACGCGTATCGCATGATTAATGAACACGGCCGGAAGGGATTGTGCGGTTATCCCCGGGCCCGTTCAACATTAATATTGTTATTTAGGAGCAAGCGACAAAAATTTCGTGTCGTTTAATTTTTCACATTATACATAATATATATTATTATAATACGACCTTTGGCAGTAGCTATTTTTAACCGAAAACGTTTATTTTAATAATAAAAAAAGCTTCGTTTAATTTATTCTCGGAACGGACAATATTTACATTTTAAACGGCTTACGTACATGAAATATTTATGTTTTAATATCAAAAGGGTTTCAAGAGCAATGATCAGCTGAACGTCAACAACGTTGCTGAAATTGTCATTTACCCAAAGCTATAGCCGCGTCGAGGGAGTTCTAAAAATAAACCGAATTGTTTTATTTTCAGAAAATTATGTAAATAATGTATACTTGGGGATTGTTTACTCGGATCACATCTTGACACACAGGTGAGACATCTGTTGTGGCAGACAGTCGTGTCGAATAACCGTTGATGTACTAGTTAAAATGGAAATCTACCGAAGAAGTCAACACAATTCCAACAGGTAAAGTAAATGCGTTATGATCCGAACGGGTGTGATAGAGTTCTATCAAGATAGTCTTAAACTGCAGTGATTGAGTACAAAAAAAGATAACAGAATAGCAAGAACAAACAAAAATATTGGTAATAGTTACAATAAGTAGGAAGGGTATAAGCAAGTTTTTTTTATGCCTCATTCAGAAACTGGTCCAAGTGTTAAGCAATAAATATATAAGACAGTGTTGCTCGTTAAAGTAGGAGTGAAGTAAGGTTATGGACTAAAAAAAGAGCAGACTTGGCCACAATTTAGATAACACTACTTTAATAATAAGCTGACTTTTTTTGGAATGGGTCTGAAATATCGCCCTTTTTACGGTTAGGTTTATTTATGTTGGGGATAATATATATAAATTAACAATTAGGTAATTTTTTACAACGCTGAATGATTGGAAAAATCAAATTCTTTTTTTTTTTTTTTGCAAATTGTATTATATTATACTGATGAGTGACACTGCAAAAATAATTACAAGCATTTCGAGTCACCGAGAACAGCACAACCATTTTTTTATGGGTTATTTCTTCAAGACATGCATTTTATATTGCACAATTATTGTACTGTCACAATTGTGGTAAACGATACAAACTGACACAACGCGGTCATGGCGAAACGACGTTGGCAATTCAATTTAAATAACTTACCGAAACAACCGTTTGTAGCATCTACAAAATACTGAAAACAGAAAAAAAAAGGTAATATTTTATTATGGACCACTATCTACAGAAATTGTTTTGAAGGATGTCACTTAGAAATAACTTGTTCTTGAAAGACAAAAATCTTGACTGGTGTATCGACGTACGGATTTTGTTTCTACCACACTTCTATACATCTAATTCAATGCATACGTCATTTTTTTATTTAGTCTTATAGGAACTTTCCCTTAGAATTTCTAAAAAAGTGATAAAAAACCTATTTCTGAGTCTATTATAAACACAAATAAACAATACTACCGAGTGCAGCAATTATTTAGGCAACGGAGTGGACTAAAATATTCCTTTATTGATTAAGGGGCAAAATATAGGCAACATTTCATACACGTCAATTCTTTGTTCAAAATATAGTATGTTTTTCATACACTAAAATAATAAGGGTTTAACATAATGGATTCACATATTTAATAACTTCATTTTGGCATGAGCTATAAAGTTCAATAATATTTTACTTATATGGTAATAAGACACAAAACACTATACTTGTTAGGTGACTCAAAATAAGTACCATTTTTTCAATAGTTGGGAATTGTTGAATTAAATATTTGTATTATTGTTTAATTTCTTGTCAAAATACGATGTAAACGCATTTAGATAACAAATAAATAATAACATACCTGTTATTTATTTTATTATTATATCACTGTTTATTTTTTATTAAATTAACTTGACATGAATTAATTTGTTTTGTTAAAATTTAAAATCGGTTTCTATTTCTGTACAACACGCGCGTGATTACCGAAAGAAATATATAATCTAGACAATAATTGCATAGCGATAGACAAAAACTGTGTTTCTGTAGGACCGAATTGACTTTTTGTCAGCCACTTTGGCTAGGATCAAAGGTAATGTGGTCCGTACTCTCGTCGTAATGGAAACCGAGTTGGATTAAATGATCTTGGATCCAGTCGAGATAATAGTTCACCAGGTGTGTATAGAAATCGTAGACACCGTTCGTGAACGTTTCACTGTCATATTCGTCCCGGGTTGTGTCTATGTCGAACAATCGGTAGCTCGGTTGACACGTAGTGTCCAAAAATGCTGCCAAGGAACCGGCAACGCCCTCCAACAGCCGGTTGAAAGCCGCGTCTTCAAGTTCTATGGCAGTTTGCCCGGTGAGATATTCTCGGAGCGGCTTCAGAGTTTGGTAAAACCGGTTGTGGTCGACACTGTTACCGCCGATTATCGAATCCACCAGCTCCAATGTGCGCATCAATTTTAACAAAACCCGCTTACCGTCTTGGACGGTTCCTCCGAGGCTGGCCATGCAATCGTCCGCGCGGTCGTCTTCGTCTCGTTGCAATTCCTTGCATTCCTCCGCTGCTTGGACCGTCAACGAGAGAGCCCAATTCAGCTTCACCCCGTAAGCGCATCCCATAATGGGCGACAGCATTTGCAACCGGTCCACTGTCCCGTAACTTGGATTTACTTCCGACAATCTACTTACAAGTATCCAACTAGAGTGGAACGCCAGCCCTTGCCAATGTCTCTCTTGTTGAACATGATCGAGCAGGTCGGTTTGATCTTGTGTCGGGTGGTTCGCGCACGCCACAACGACCATTAACGAAATCAACATTTTTATCAATGCCATTCTCGCCATCGTAAACCTGTTAGACTTGCACGGTTTTAACTAGGTTCAGCGTCGAGCAACAGAACTGACACAACCGTAATACGGCGCATAAACGAACCGCTCATGCGACTCATTGTTTGCTTAGAATAAATTTGAATTGTCTACATTGATACCATAAGTCAAATTTCATAGTTAAAAACCTGAGTAAACAATAATAAGCGTATGCAATTCAATACAATTTGCTAAAAATACTTTTTCAATACAGTTTCATTTGAACAGACGGCGATTTTATTAATATACTACACTATACTAAACACTGCTTGAGGAGTCATATACAACCGTGAAAAGTTGTTGTTTGTTAACAACAAAATATATAAATCGTCTGCGAACTATCTTAACTAAAAATCGGTTTCTAAACGGTCTTACGTGAAAGCACTATGCATACTTCGATTTTGAAATTCGTAAGCAAACTACAATATTATATACTCTCATAATATGTAAAGATTTCACTGGAGTTCAGAAGTACCCTGCTCATTTTTATTTTATTTTTCATTACAAGTTCAGTCTGAATTGTGTTGTAAAATATTACCTATAATGATATAGCAAAAAAATAAATATATAAATAAAAGACTGTACTTGGTTTAAATTGTATTGGCTTGTTCTGTATTGGTGTATAGATTGTCTCTGTTTTGTTTGTATAATTCATTTGTTTGTTTTTTGTAAACAAATTTTAAAAATAATATAAACAGTAAAAATATGTTTTGCTCTACGGTAATTCTAAAATAAGACAACATGATCAAAGTTTCTACCAGAACAAACACTATAAAGTATTGCTGAATTTTTCAGCAAAAGAAAATAATTATTTCATCCTAAATTTACATACTAGGCACTTAACAACATGCAGATTTGTCACAAATCGTATTCTTTATCATAATATGGTTAATAATATAAACACAATAAATTACATTCACAAAAACTAGTAATTTATTTGTGTAGATATAATAGTAACTATTTACATTTATTTTTTAAGTTAAAGCTATAAATAATTTTGATTTTTGAATAATTAGATCACAGCACTATTAGATGGCAACTCACGTTGTTGAGTTTCTTTTTCACCGATGTTCACCTTAGTCGTTTCCACCTGTCGAAATTGATATTTTCCATCAAATTAATACAATCGTTCCGTGTATTTAGATAAGGTCATTTATGTTTGATTCCGTTACTGTACACACCTTTTATAAGAACAGTATAGAATACAACTGGCCAAAATCGATGCGATTCCAATAAAGCCCGCAATGCCCAGCACCGACAGCTGAACCCAAGTAACAGCCGCTTTGGTTTGTTTCGGAGAACACCGCTAAAATAACAAAAAAAAAAATCGAATTAACCTTCAAACAAACGATAACAACAACATTTGAGTTCGGAGAGGCGTTTTACCTCTATTGTCTTGACGTCGTACAGTTTGTAAACGTTTTTCAACTCGTGATTGGTAGGGTCTTCGAGCAGCGTTATCGTGTCTTTGGGACTGTAACTGTTCGGGCCGACCAGCTGGAAGCACGATCCGGTGCTGCTGAAGTCCAAGCTGCCGTCGGTTTTCGAATAGAACTGTGTGTCGTACAGGTTCAACGTGGCCCGAGACGAACCCAGAGCTTTCTCGACGTCGTCCTTGAACTTTTGTATGTGATGTCCGACCACGTTGGGAGGTCTGGAGAACACGAATTTCAGGAGACCGCGGTCCTTGACGACGTACACCTGTATCCAGCCCAATAACCCCAAAATTATTATGCTCATGTCCGAATTGCACACGGACATGCACACGGATAATGTAAAACCGTTTACCCTAATGGTCGAATTGGAATGTCTGCCGGGCACGTCGCTGTTGATGGCGGCCACCGCGATGGTGAAACGACCGTCGACGAACGGCGTCATCGAAGTGGTGGTTCTGATATCGCCGGACGACTGGTCCAAAAAGAACGGCCAAGTGCTCACGTCCGTGGTGCTGCCCTCGGTGTGACGACTGAATGACAGATTTGTAATGTGATACGTGATTTGTTCAGCCGAACTGTCGACGTCCGTCGCCCGAATCGTCGCCACGAGAGTGTCCAACGGAACGCTCATCCGGACACCTGATGCGAGCGAGTCGTTCAGTTAGTTTGAAGGCAATTACACACACACACACACACAAAAAAAAAAACAACCACTATATTCAGGTACCTATTGTTATGTTTTCTTGAACGAATTTAGGCAAGTTGTCGTCGACGTCGACGATCCTTACGAGCACTTGTCTTTCGCTGGCGTCTTGTTTGTTGTACGGCTTGTCCAAAGCGTATGCTTTGTTTTTCCGCTTAAAACATTTCACCGTCAGCAAGTACTCCGAAACGACTTCTCTGTCCACTTCACCGTTGATTCGTATTTCGGCGACGTTGTCGGAAATGTTCAGATAAAAAGCGTCGCCTTCGTTTCCGTCTAACGAAAATAATTTTTTTTTTTTTTTTTTTAATACACAAAGAGCTAATTTTAATAGGCTTTTTTCAACTGAGTTTTGTAAATACCTATTATAATGTAGTCAATGATGGCATTGTCTCCGATGTCTGGGTCAAACGCTTTTACGTGTCCGACAAGTGTACCGACAGCGGATTCTTCTTCGGTTTCCATCACCAGAGGTTTCTCTTCCTGAAATATATTTGCTATAATTAATCACGATCGATAACTAATGTTTTTGTTCACCCGGCGTCCATTCAAATAGCGGTTACCAAACCTACGTACTTGCCCCAGAATATTCAATTGACAATAACATTGACAACTGTCAATGACATTGTAGCTAAGCAATTTTCTATTTTTTGAAGTTTCAACAAAATATATTTACCACAGATCTGTTGAACGCAGGCTTATTGTCGTCGACGTCCGTAACGATGACGTTAAATATTCTCGTGCTGTGCTGTGGTACGTCTCCCATGTCTCGTGCCACCAGCACTAGGGTGTATTTGTCTTGGGTTTCCCGGTCCAATACGGCTTTAGTAGTGATCAAACCAGTTTCCGGATTGATGGCGAACGCCGAAGAATCCTTAGTTGCTTCCAGGAAGCTATAGTGTATGGTTCCTTCCAACGTGGCCGGGTCGTCTGGATCCGTAGCTAACGCTCTAAACACCAACGACCCAACGGAAGCATTCTGAAAGAATCAAGCGAGTTGTTAACTCAATTTGCTATCGTTAGTTAAGAATATCTGCCGGGTTAGACACCGTGCATAGAACGAAAAACAGCGCTATCTAGAAGACAACTCCAAAAGTTCTCTTATTACAACATTTGTGTATGGGAATTTATTTTAAAAAAACCGCTACAATTGTAAAACGAATTGTCTCGTCCATTTTTTGTACACCAGACATGTTTGGTTAGTACGAAAAAAATGTACAATAATACAATTTTACATTTTCCAATGCTCTCTTAGAGGAAAAATAACTTGCGTTGTTGTTCACTGGATCGCTGGGCATAGATAATAAAAAAAAATGGATAGGCCATGCCTATATTAGCAAAATAAGGGGACGCACGCCGGAACGAGGATGAGAGAAAGACAATTATTTTTCCATAGAAGTATCAATGGCTCTTTCTGGCAAGGGGTTATCTATAGGTATAGTGATAAGCTTGATGGCCCATCCAATTTTTTTTTATTATCTATGTTTGCACGGTGTCCTTACCTCGGAAATGTACGCGATCTCGTCGGCGTTCGGATGCACGAACGAAGGAACTCCGTCGTTTTCGATTATGTCGCTTATGTAGAGGCTGAGTTTGACGTCGGTGGACATTGCCGGTTCGCCGTTGTCTTCTGCCCGGATCTTCAGTTCGTACGGATCGGGACGACCTTTGCCGGTCAACCGTTTGGAAGTTCTGATCTGTCCGTTGACGCTGTTTATGTAGAGATAACCTGTGCCGAGACAGAATACACGGCTGTTACAATGCCGGTCGATGGGGTGGGCTAGGGAAGTGCAAATCCTCCTAAACAGACAGCTTTCAGAGCTGTTTTTAAATGGTCTAAACTTCCTTAGCCCTCCCCCCCCCCTCTCAAACTGCGTCAATGGGCACGGTCTGCCCCCCAAAAAAAGTTACCCCGAAGCTGCTGTTCGTCGACCAGTTTGTAATTGATCAGCCCGCCGGGTCCATCGTCGGGGTCCCGTGCCGACACGTTGAGAACGCTCGTCTCGGGAATTACATTTTCCAAAACGACGGCAATGTAAGTGGTCGAATCGAATTCCGGAGCGTTGTCGTTGATGTCTTTCACGTGGATTTCCACCTGTTCACACAAATACCGTTCTGTAATGATGACGACCGTGGCCACCACAGTGATTGACCGTGTGCACCACCCTTACCGGAACCGAAGAAACCTTTTGGTCGTTACCACCCTGTGGCATATCCGACGCGAACAGAGTTAATTTCAGCGTGGCGGTTTTCTCTCGGTCGACCACGCCGTTTCCAGAGATCTTTATTTCGCCGGTCAAAGGATCCACGGTGAACAAATTGGCGTTTTCCCCGCCCAGGCGGTATCTGACTTGACCGTACTGCGAAGTGGGCAAATCCTCGTCGTTTGCTCTGACCGACAACACTACGGTTCCCTTAGGGCTGGATTCCACTATTGAAGCGCGGTACACCTACAAACACATTAGTCTTATCAATAAATATTGTGTAAATAATATTTCCGTTTCCGGTATTCCGTCGTCGTCGTCGTGCACTGGGTGACTCATTAAGGATATAGAATATTCATTTTATCTTAAATCGTAATAAAACCCAAACAATTATGTGACATACAAATGGCGAACTCTTTTAATTGACCTTTACTTATGTGTAGATATGACGGAGTTTCAAAAATCGAGTATAAGACAGATTTCTGAAATGAGAAAGCGGTTTTTTTGCAATCATATACTGGAAAACTTGTTGTTTTGGTTATATCAAGTTATTGGTTTTTATTAATGCTGTATTTATTTTATATTTATTAATTTTATTTCTAGTCGTTATTCGGTTTGATCTAGGTAGATTATAATTGCACGTCTCTACGTTTACCATAAAACTATACAGTTAATATATTTATTTTTAATGAGTAATAAACGTTCAATATACTTCATAATATTATGAATGTATAATTAATACTAAACATAGAGTTCAGGTCGGTTTGATGTCAGTTTTTTTGAATTCATAGTTACAATCTATGTATAGCCTTATAACAAATATAGTATGTAGTTGGAGAAAAACTCGAAAATCCAATAGAGCATCAAATTATGATATAAGGTCAAAGGCAACTCGGAGCACTCGACCATTAATAATTGTGGAATCTTTTGTTTGAATCCAGGTCGTCTAATAAATGTCTAATATACGGTACTTCCTTATGTACTACACGTGTTTTTGTGTACACAACCCTTAGCAAATAATATAAACCAACTCCTTAACCTTTGCTTTTGTTATACATTTTTTAAGCGTTATACATTACTAGATAACCTAGTTGGTTTTTCTTTCCTTTTAAATGTACATTTTCTCTAGGTATTTAAAATATGTAAATTGATTCTTAAGTATACCTAAAAGCAACAATCACACTTACTGGATACTCGAATTCCGGAGCGTTATCGTTTATGTCTTGAATTTCGATGACAATTGTTTTGGTGGTCGATCGCTCTCCATCTTCTGTTGTTACTTTCACTTGAAACGTAAGTACCTAAAAAAATGCTATTGTTGTGAATGATTTCGTTTTTTACAAAACACTGAAATTTTGTCTCTGGCTCTTCTCGACAAGAGCCAGCGACGATATTATAGCCAGAGCCTATCTCTCGCTTTTTGACAAATAAGCTAAATAAAACATTTTTTTTTTCTAAAGCCTTTCTTTTATACATAACTCATAGCTTTTTAAATTTTTGCCCTGGGAATGCAATTTTTTTTTAAAGAACGTTATTATATACATGTGACATTAGCTCTTCTCGACCGAAACCACAAATGTAAAATCTTAATAATTAAACTTAAAAAAGTGTGTTTTGTTTCATAACGTCGCACTCTAAGGGACCATACGCCGTGAGGGAAAGATGTATTGTTTACACATTATGTTTTTGGAATGAAAAACGGTTTATGTAACATTTTATTTATAAAATTATGAATTTCTTTTTCTTTAAATTGCTTACGTTATTTTTTTCGCATAGATAAATTTGGTAAAATCAAAAATTCCAAGTTTCTATTCATAGCGTCTCTTTTTAAGCATGGCGTCAAAGAGTGCGGCGTAAAATGTCAAAATACATTATATAATGTAAAAGCTTATGCATGTATTAAATTTCATTCAAAACATTTTCTTTCTTCAATCCTTTTTGGAAATTATTTGCCTTGGACAAATCTAAAAGTCGACGTCCTTGTCCGATAGAAAAAAAAATAAACATACAGGATTATCTAAGTTCTCTTTTTGTCCAAGACATTTAATTATTTTTGCTAAAGATACCCCTTAAAGGTTAGTTTCAGAGAGTGAATTTTAAAGTCAGATAGCAATATGTACTATGATTGATTTAAGTATTAAAAAAACAAGATAACGTAATTGAAAAATAAAACGTCTGGTCGATAAACAGTTTTTAGCACTTGGCGTTTAAAGTTATTGGCGAGACTATGATAGCTAAAACCATTATTTCAAAATATACCAATCACTTTGCTGCACTTCTAAAACAATACCGCCACAACTCAAAATTAACTATAATATTATAACTACTTTTGAATAGTAAAAAAATAGCTTTGTATAATACAAGACCGCCTTATTCAATATTTCTGCGTTCTTACACTGACAATGAATAAAAACTAAATTTGTGTGTGATGTGTTGAATTAGAACGTAGGTTAAAGAACCCTTTATAATATTATCTTATTTTTAAACTCCAGAAGGCTTTTACTATGACTATGTTGAGTTCTTGTGGCGGTCTTATACCTAACCTAACCTAACGCTGATGGGAATAATATTATAATGAACTTATGGTACTTTGTCCTCGATCGTTTCGTAGTCGAGTCGCTCTATCAACGTGATTTTTCCCGTGTAGTCCATAGTGATTTGCATTGGAATGGCCGTGGTCGGCTTGAAGTCGTACAGAGAATTGTTCGTTGAAACGTCGACGGCTTTGAGTTGTAACAATGGCGTGCCGATTGGAGTTTCCTCGTCGATTTTGATGACCAACACTGATGAGTTCTCGGCCGACCAACCGGCGTTTGTGAATACCGGATTCTTGTTATCATATGGCTTCACGAATATTGTGATTTCCACCGTGTCGAATTGCTGCTGAACGTTTTCCACGGCGTTTTCGTCCACGGCTCTTACGGTCAACACGATCACCGATGCCGTTTGATAGCTTAGCGTATTGTTGACTTTGATTTCGCCGGTATTTCGATTTATGCTGGAAAAAAAAATTTAAAAAATAAACAATAATCGCAACTCCTCACACACACACACACACACAATAGCTGTGGAACTCGCTGGACCGAATCTTTCGCACAACACACGGTCCATCGATCGGAAATCATAATGCTCGGTAAGTACTTTGACCCCAATCACACTGAACAACGTGCCGATGCCGACAGAGTATAGTATTGTTTAGCCTAAGTAGTAGACGATTAAGGTGTTTACGCAGCGTGGGCCCACGTCATACTATGTGAAAAACCATAGACAAATATTAGAAACCCAACTACTCAATCTTCATTGCAGCGGCTGTTACTCTTGATTGTGCAGAGAAACGAGGCCGACGGAACCAGTTCGAGCTCACGATTCGCAACTACAAGGTTTCATATCAAAAGACAAAAGATATCGACCATATACCTATAAGGGCTGTAAAACGAGACGATCGAAAAGGATCAAGTTATTTTTTAACCTGGAACTGGTTATTTGGGACAGTAGAAATCGATAAATAGTGTTACGGTGATGTCGTAATGGGCAGGAAAGGAAAAAAGAAGAGGTAGAGGGGATGATGGTACATTTTATTAAACCACAAAATTGAAACAATAACGTGAATTACAAGTGCATAAACGATTTGTATTTTCGTCTTAACGTTTCGCTGTGAATTGCTTCGATTTGTTTTACAATTCGGCATATCAAATGGCCACTATATATATATTACTCTTTCTTCAATGACTCTACCCCCAGCCAAAAAATACATTAATTGGGTCATTTTACCGGTAGTGGTATATTTGTGTCCATGACAAATCATTAGTCATTATTATTATTGTAAGAATATATCAAAAATGATCAATTAGGGTGTATTCATGCCAACAAAAGGTGTCAATCGAAATCATTAATATGCACACAAAAAAAGGTAAAATAAGAAATTTAGAGCTAGTTTCTCAATTCTCATACCCCGGACTTGTCCCAAGGTTTACCATCAACCCATTCTAGGCCACTCCTGACATAGTAATAGGTTACTTGAAAAAAAGTGAATAGTATGATTGTCTGCTAAAGAACGAATGAGAAATACTATTCACTCAACAGTAAACTATGTAGATCACATTTCAAACGATTCGGTTAATGTTAGGTTTATTTAGGCTTCGTAGCTTAATTTAGGTTAGATAGGTAAGGTCGAGTTAGATTTAGGTAAGATAAGCAAAAAGCATATTCTATGTTTTACATACTCTATTTGAAGTGCGAAGATTATAAGAAATGGGAGGGGAGGCAGTACCTCTTGCGAGGTCTCTAACGACCGAATTTTTGAAATCAATGTTTTTTTCATTAAATTTCAATACTGAAGTGTGACCGCCGCTTTACGCGAAATGACCCATTTTCGCCATAACAATTCGAAACCGCTCACCTAAAGAGGTCTTTGACGTTGTACAGGCTCGAGTTTTTCAACGGTAGTCCGGTCTTGTCGCTGGCTTTGATCGGTTCGACGATGGCGTACTTAACCGAAGCGTTCTTATCCGGATCGACGGCGTTGACTTTGAACACCACTAGATTTTTTTCGGTAGTCTCCGGCACGTACACTATGTAACTTGCATCGCCGTCAAACTTGGGCGGTTTGTCGTTGACGTCGGTCACGTTGACGTAGACGTCGGCGTGTGCCACTTCTCTGATTGGCGATCCACTGTCCATGGCTATGACGACCAGATGATAGGACTGTACGCCGGTCACGTCCAGGTCGAGTATGGCTCGGTCCGACACGGATATAACGCCGGAACGGTCGTCGACGTGGAAGTTATCGTTGTTGTTGACCATGCTGTACTTGATCAAGTCGTCGGGCCCGTCCGGGTCGGTAGCCCGAACCCTCAGCACTTGGGACGACCTCGGCGTGTTTTCCGGCACCGCGACCGAGTAGGCGGTGTTACCGAAAACCGGCCGCTGATTGCCGGGCACGCCCACCCTGACGTGCACTTGGACGTCGGCGTGCAGTGCCGGGACTCCCATGTCGGTGGCCCTAACGGTTGCCTCGTACTGACCCCTGGAAGTGTGGCTCAAACTCACCGAAGAGTTCAACGTCAGCTCGCCCGTGCTGGGGTTCACCATCAGGATACCGTCGTAGTTGGAGCCGGCCATCGAATAGCGAATCATCGAGTTGATGCCGCTGTCGGAATCCGATGCCTAAGTATATCGATTCGTCAAAATGTTGGCATTAGAAAATACAATAACCGCGTGACAACGAATCAGGTGTTCGAAAACACAGTACCGACCATCAGTGTTGCCGTTACATAGTTTTAGATCACATGTAAAATAGGTAAGCACATCTCTGTTAAATAAAAAAAAAATGCCGGAATGGCAACACCGCTGTGCCTGATAATCGGCAGCTGTAAACCGTACCTGGACAAATAGTTTTGGCTGGAACTCTGTGGCCCCCTCTCTTATCGTTCTCCTGTATTCCAGAGCGTTAAACACTGGAGCGTTATCGTTGACGTCGACGACTTCGATCAGTATCACTACGTGAGTGGATCGGTTGCCGCCATCTTTCGCTTCCAGAGTCAACGAATAAGAGCTTTGTTGTTCGTAATCGATTTCTGGTAAAACAAAAATATACACCATTTTGTTAATGTTGCATATTCCATTTGTAAGAAAATAGTACAAAAGTTTAACGGAAAGGATAGCACGAGGTAAGGTGGAATGAAAAAAAAAACGCATTGAAAAACGAAAAAGTAGTGTTTGTTTGACTTTAATAGTGGAAGAAAAAGGTTGTGATAAGATGGAAATGTTAAGAAAATAGAAGACATATACAGTGTGGTAGCAAAAGTGGTATTGGAAATGCATTTGGAATATGTATGACAGTTTTAATAGAGTTTTATGATACGAAAGGAATAAACTTTTTCAAAATGTTTACACCAAAAATTACATTTGGTAAACCATATCCGATCTATCCCTTGTGGTTTAAACACAAACAAGTACTGTTGTATAATCAATACTTTCTAAACTAATAAATCTATTAAAATATAAAAAACAATAGGTTTTTTTGTTTAAAATCAAATTAAACGCGAGACAAGAATAGTTGTATGCAATTAGGTCTAATAGTTCGTTAAAAAAAATATAAATATTGGCATTGTCGTTTTAAAAAAATGGTTAACCAACCAAAAATTGCGCTTTCATATGAAAGTTTCTCTAATTGATTGAAATGAAGTCGAGAATAAAATCTAGTGCAAAACTTTAAGCGCAAACGGATTGAACTTATTGCCGGGAGGTTGCACTTTAAGTATTAAAGTTCCCTATAAATTGATGTTATAAAAATAGTTTCACCGATAAATTGTAAGGTAAATTTCAAAATTTATCCAAACCGTCCGTTAGCTGAAATTACCCTAGAAACAGATTTTCCCAGATTAAAGTTAAAACACGTTGGTTTTATTTGTTTACAGTAATTAAATCGAAAGATTTCTTTGGTTGCTAATATTATGTTTGGTAATAATGAATTAGCATAAATTGGTAAAAAGTATAAGTTTACTCAAAACTAAATTAATCATTCAAGTTCCTTCCTGGATGTTTTAGTAAGCGAACAAAATTTAAACGTTAATCCAATGCGTTGAAATGGTTGAACGGTTAATCAAAATGACTACATACACACAACAACGGTAATCCTAACATAATATTGAAAATCTCTTCGAATCTGTTTTGTGTCCAAGAGACAAAGCGATCGCAGCTGTTTTTTTTTCATGTATTAGTCATAAATAAATCATGCACCACACACAACAACGTGCATGGCAACCCACATTAAATATACAGTACAAATGAAGAAAAAAACTCATAAACTACGTATTTAGAATGGTTAACAATGCATGAAACTACTTTCACGGATTTTGTAATATGATGTTCGCTCTTCACTCAACGAAATCACAGTATAGCTACATTTGTATACAATTTTTACTACACGGTTTAATTTTTTTCCCGACTTCTTCTAGAACCGATAACCTTTTTTTAGTTTGGTTTGAAAACACACAAACGGGAAATCAACACATGTTTTATAATTTTTCTGAATGCTCTCAAAGTGCGTTTATCGTGTATGTGTGTTATAATATTAAATGTAAAAATAAAAAAATTAAGAAAAAATATAATCGTCTCGTGTTACATGTGAAACCATAAAATATAATGTCTTGAGGATTTTTGTTTGTTTTACAAAATCTCCAAACGTTCTATAGTTATAATATTATATAGCTATAAAATATGTAAAGTTAGTTTTTTACTGTAATTTTTCAATTACAATTATTAGAATATTAGGCACACAAAAATACATGCAGAGAGATTATAATATTGAATTAGATATCTTGTAACACAGTCGCTTTTACTATATTAAGCGAATTATATTTATAAAAAACACTTATTTTATGGAATTATTTGTCGACGTGCCAATATGGTAAAAGCAATGGTATTAGGTATAAGGACCCAATACTTGGCGGACCACCTGTCCGTGTGCGATTGCCCGACTAGATTTAAAATTAATTGGATAAAATAACCGCAACCGGTTAGCATAGTAATGATAGAGGTTTTGTTTCAATCGCAATAATATGATATTTTTTTTTTTTCTTTAAGTAATAGCTCACAATATCGCTTGTACGTGCGGTTAGGAAGTTGTGAGACGTTCACAGTGGTAAATTCAATTTCGTTTGTATTAAATAATGTTATTGTATCAAAATCACGCGGTTCGTTAGACTTTTAAATGAAATACACATTTGGACTGTAGAAGGACTGGTTTGTTTTTTTATTACCGTTAAAAACCACTCACGGATTGGCCAAGAACAAGTTATTATACATATTACAGTCTTGATCTGTACGAGTTCTGCGGACGACTTTGTTCAAAAAACGTTATGAAAAAATCCAGAAAGAAACTGCCAACGAATAATATTTAGTTTCAAAACATAATATTATTATGGTGGAAAAAATATTAATCATAACAAATTAACTTGTCGTTACAAAAAAGCATATTGTTGACTGCAAAGTCTAGGTTAAGAATTGAGTATAATTTAGCCGTACTAAATGATTAGTCAAATTTTACATAAACCGTTAAGCCAAACTGGTAAAAATGGTAATCAATTCGTTATAATATGAATATATTTTTATACCAACTGTATGATTTCTGAGAATAACGGTCTACACAATTATTGAGTTAAAGCCATTTGCGGAGAGTTAAAGTTAAAGTAAGACTTTGTTGCATACTATTTAGAAATCGTCAAAGTTATAAACTATCCAAAGTCTTTGGCGCGGAAACCGTATTTAGATTAATTATTTTCGTCAACGTTAAAACAAACTCTCAAACTAATATTACCGACATTTTGTTGAAAAAAAACCTGTCTAACCTAACCTTAAACGTTTTTTTTTTATATTATAATTTACCCTCGGAAAAAACATTTTAATCTAACCTAACAAACGCGTTCATAGGTTAACAAAAAAATATATAATAGGTTTAACCCAAACATATTATGTACTTTGTACGTATTTCATGCATCGTAGATGAAATAAATGAAAAGGAAAAACACATTCTAGTGCAAAAGTGGCAATAAGTTGCGACAACGTCTTGAATAACTTAAGAATGTAAATTTTCTATTAGGAAGAAGATGTCTAATGTTTACACGGTTTTTTTACATAAAAAAAAAACAATGAGACCGCAACAAACATTTCTGGCCAGTTAGTTCTATCTAAGGTTAAATTTTCTGAGGGCATTAAAAAAAAAAAAAACATTTACTTTTATTTCAAGTTTTTGTCTATTTTTCCGATCATCATGCTCAAATCGACCATACCAATTATTTTAAACTAAACCACTAAATCACTGTACCTACATTGTACAATAATTATTGTTTTGTGCGATAACCAATATGGAGATGAAATCCATTTGGATAATAATTATTAGTAATAATAACGTGACTCACTGTTGGTAAGATATATGCCACCGAGTTCAGAATCGCTGCCGAACTTGTCCACTCCAAATCCTTGGAGACTATAAGCTATATCCGAGTTAATTCCGCTATCAATGTCTGTCGCAGTCAGGTTGGCCACTTTGGTGCCGGGCTGAGTATTTTCCGGCACCGAGAAGGCGTAGGTCAGTTGATCGAACTTGGGCAAATTGTCGTTGGCGTCTAAGACTTCAATCATCACGTACGCCGACGAAGCCTCCTTGAAACCTCCCTGGAAAATCCACACATTTGTTGTCATAAGTCAAAAGCCCCAATATAAGGTAGTATTTTTGGTTAAGTGTCAATGTTTAATTTGACCGCAAAAAGGAACTAATGCGGTTCAGAATACACTCACATAACCTTCCTAGCCTAACGTAATCATGCGGTTGGCAAACTTTAACGGCAAAAATGCGATATTTATATGTAGTTTTATTGGATTTACTTCCACGTATGACAAATTCTGAAATTGCCGTCGCTTTCAGCGCAAAAGTGTGTATATGACTGGGAGCCCAACTATATTTACTAATGAGACGATAATGAGTTATACTCCTCGATGAATTTTCTCGAATTTAATGACAAAAACATAATAGTTTTTAACAGTTTATGGTACCATTGTCCTAAAAACGGTTTTGTTTCTCAGTTCACACGAACGTTGATTGAAATCTTAACCAATAAACGGTCTATTCTACAGCTTATCAATAGGATTTGTGTGAATATCTACACTAATTTACATACGCTCATTTTGTCTTGGTACATGGCGACTATTTCGAATTCGACATTCGTAACGCCTGCCTCATAATCGAACCCGTCGTTGTCGACTAAACGTATCAACACGTTCGTCCTTCCCACGGCCGCTTCTGGAATTACTTTAAACCAGTTTGACGCCCTGGGATCGCTGGACTTCATCACCAGAACGTATCTGCCGTTATCTCCCAGATCTGGATCGTTAACGACGATGTTCAAACCGGGTAAAGGCGTACCGACATCTGTGAAACAGTAACAGACAGAGTCTAAATGAATTAACGCCCGGCGCGATTGGGAGACGTGTTAAACCGGCGTTCTTACTTGTGTCTTCCGATACCGAAGTGGAGAAACTGTGATCGTTGAATTCGGGTAATTCGTCGTCGACGTCTTGCACAACGACGGTGACTATTTCGTAGCTCATCTCTCCCGGCAGCTCGTTGTTTATCAGTTCTGTGGCCTGCAAAAAGTCGGGTGGAAGAAAAATCACTTCTAAAGGTTGAAAAAAAAAAACACAATTTTTTCAACAAAACCTCTACAATACCTTCAGCCTAAACGTGTAGATGCCCCCTGCGTCAGAAACTATTTTGTTTTCTCTGTCGATTGGATTTTCACTGGTGTAAATGTAAGCAGATCCGTTGGGTCGGTTTTCGATGTTGAAATATCCAAGAGAGTCGTCCTCGATGCTCAGAACCACTTGCCTTTTGTGACCGGCATCACCGTCTTCGGCGTTAACGGCCAACACTTGAACGTCGGCCGGAGTGTTTTCGTCTATTACGATGGAATAAGGCGAGTTCAAGAAAACCGGAGGCTCGTCTTGGACGTCTTTGACGACGACCGAGATGTTGGCGGTGGACGTGAGCGTGTGCCTCTGGTTGTTGTCGGAAGCTTTGACGGTCAGCATGTAAGAGGACACGCTATCGTAGTCCAGGGGACGGGCTAACCGTATCAAACCCGAATACGTGCCAGAAGCTATCTAAAATAAAAATTCAATAATAGTTCGACAACATAGAAGTGAGTGTCGGACACTGATCGAGGAAGATGAAAGGGAAATTAAAGTACATAGCTAAAATGAGAATGTTCAGATGAGCGTGTGGAGTGGTTCTAATAATAGGGAAAGTAAGAGAAAAATATTGAGATGGTTCGGGGCGTGTTGAAAGGAAGGGAAGACAGCAAAATAGTAAAACAAGTCCACGAGAGATCATGGAAGAGGATTTGGAGGTAAAGAAATGACTGTGGATTTACAGGAACGGCTCAATGTGTATGAAATAAGGCAAAGAAGAAGAAGAAGAATTGGACAACTCCATTCAAAACGACTCTAATCAATGGCATCAACCCACTTTTATCCTATTCTAATCATTTTCTCTCATTTCGCTCCACATGTTCAAACCGCTTCTTTACTCAATAAGCTCTCGTCTGATCTTTTTTCAGACACTATAGCTTCGGTCAAATCCATTTCCATTCGTCCGTTCCATCCAACCCGCACATGTCGTAACAGACCACATAAATTAATATAATATGAGTATTACTTTCTCTGTGAGGAGGTTGAACGTGGAGCAGGGTGCGCTGTTTTGAATGCATTCCAGCGTGATTTCCCCGTTGATTCCTATGTCTTTGTCTATGACGGTTATGTTATTGAATATGATGCTCCCGACCGGCGCGTTTTCGGGCACGCTAAACGAATAAGGCCTTCCTTGGAACTCCGGAGGGTGGTCGTTGACGTCGACCACTGCGATTTCCCTCCTCAGCGAAACCGTGTTGATATCAGTGTCTCCGATTGGTTCGTCTGTGGATACAATTTCAATGGTAATATTATTATTATGATTGCATAAGATGTATGCACGAACGCGTGCGTCAGTACCTGTCACGCTGATGACCACCTCGATGGAATCGAACAGCTCTCGGTCCAGAGCCTTGATCAACGTTACAACGCCTGTCGATCGGTCCACGCTAAAGTGTTGACCGCTTATGGTGTACGTGACTTTGGAACCGTCGGGATCGACGGCTAACAGTTTGTACACGGATTTGTTGACCGCCGTGTCTTCGGCTATGGAAAACCGAGCCATGTCTCCTCCAGGAAGAAACTGCGGCGGCCGGTTGTTCAGTGCACATTGTAATCGACCGAAACATGCCAAAAGCACCAAGAACACCCACTGGCCGTACGCCATCTAAACGCATAAAGGAAATGTTTAAATTATTATCAGTGTCCTATGTGACCCGTATAAAACCACACCAGAGAATAAGAATACCTAGACTCACACGGCGGTTAATTAGTGGCGTACACAACCATCGTGAGAATGAGTGCAAGGTGCTAAATGTATTACAATTATTTGGAATAAATTTGCAATAAAACCACCTGTGTTTTTTAAATTAAAAAAATCATTCAACGCGATAGTAAATTCATTACAATCTAGTCCTAGTCTTTCGAAATCCGAACTGTTTTAAGTTTATTATAAGACGCCGCGTCCCGTTGCTTGTCGTGAGTATTTAATGTTGTTTAATTTTCAAATTAAACTCATGAAAACACTTTGGTTATTGTTAGTGTGTAATACATGTTTTCATAATACAGTGAAAGCTAATAAATGTGAAAACAAAAAACAATACAATATTTCATAGAAGTTTTTCGATAAACACTAATCAAAACGGGAGAATAGAGAATAATACAGTGATTAAATTGTATTGTAATGTTAACCATTCATCTAAACAGCCAACAGAAGGTATACATTATTTAAAAATGTAATTCCTACTTCCCAGGACGCCACACCTGCACTTTAAAGGAATTCAAAAATGTAGGTAGGTGATTTTTCACACAAACACTGCGTTTCAGGTCAACACTCCAGTTGTATTCTAGTTTGTAACGTCATAGTGAATAATCTACACGGTTTTTTTTTAATTTTACAGCATTTATCACATCTGTGACACTTTGCACTAGGTTTTTGCGCGTTAACCGGTGACCCACTCATTCCGTAAAATATGGTTGGTTATTGTTTTGAGATGAAACATCTCCTGGCAAGGAGTGTGTCAAACGTAAATGGAATCTAGCGACTGGAATTGTTCAAAATTATTCGAATTCCATTTCTAAGTCATTTAATTTTGTTGTAAGTAATGAGCGTAACGCGAAACGCAGTCTCTGTTGGTTTTTCGACTGCTAACTATCGCCATAAACGTTTTGTAACGCTAAACGTCTGGCGTTCGGTCAGTGTGTCGCTCGTGTTAATCGTAATAATTTTAAACTGTTTTTCTTTTTTATAAAATAAACACAAGACTCACTTGACGGTTACACAGCACAGCTATACTGCCTACGACGAACCCGTATCACCGAACACACATGACAAAAACATGATAATATACACAATCGCGGTATAATATTATACACACAACCGAAACTCGCGCGCACAGTATCCACGTCACATGATGAATTCGACCTAAGGAATCCAGGTAGACTGAGCAGTCGAGGGGTCATGCAGCCGGCGGAAGACGAGGGCAGGTATATCTTGGGGAACTGGCATCTGACGTCGCCGATGCGGCCAACTGTGTGCGACGGCAACCGAACCGGTCATGCGCCGCTAAGCGGTATGGATCGAAACTAAAATCACGGTTGCAATACTATACAGGCTATTGTACGTCGTCTCGATTAATAACATTGTTATCTTCAGAAATAAAATAACACCGTAAAGGCGTATCAAATTTTACTACTTCTAATTTAATGTGCAGTACATACTTACTTGACTCACTTGATTGGCTCCCGTTACGCTGACGTGTCCACTATTGAGAAGGGGTATATACGTGCAATAACTTTGTATGTTAATTGAATGGTGAAAAAAATTAAACCACCGTTGGCGCAAACCCGTTGGTGCCCGCTGGATAAAAAAAAAAAAAACCTTGGATTTCAGACAGTACGCTGCTAAACAATGCCGTACGCGAAAACGGCGGCCGAATTTACGCGGGATTGCCGCTGTCGACACGGGTACCCTCGTCGTAGTTTACCGGCAACTGCGCCTAGAACAACTCTACCGCTTGCGGAAATCCCGCACAAAACCGGCGGCCGTTCTTGCGTATAGCGTTGCGCATGGTTATATTATTTTCAGATCAACGGCAGAACCGCACGATCCAGCAAAGAAGCAAGTCCGTGCCGAAAGCAAGACACGTTAGCCGACTCGGACGTCGCAAGACGCTACGTCACCTATCTATTTGTTGTTAACCATTATAGTGCAGTCAGTTTTAATCGAAATCTTAATATTCGAAACATTATTTTACATATCATTTGTGTATTGTATACGAAACCAGTGATGTGGCAAGACGTGACATCACCTCATTTTAAAGATTAACCTATAATGTATGATCTTTCGACTTTTCAAACTTAAATGGTGACATATATTTTTTTTTTTGCAACTTTTAACGAACAACAATATTAACACTATACGCTAATGTATAACCTTTCTTTTGGAACAAGATTGGTTTTTCGTTAGAAAAAAATAATTAATTAAGTAAAAATAACTTCTCATTTTGTTCACTATTTTCGGATCTACCTCAGATTTCTTAGATCAGACGTGATTGCTCTATTCAATTTTTTCCTAAATTGTATAGATCTATAAGAATTTTAAACAATGTAGAATTAATTATTCAAATTAGCCAAATATGTACGTTGCAATTTTAATTTCAATAGTTAACACACCTCTAAAAAAAAAAGGAAATATTGGCAATTTTTTTAGTGGTTTCATATAAATAAAAATATATATAAAAACTCCTTAAAAAATCAATACCATTAAAAAAAAACCAAAATATAAGTTTTAAACAGGGATTTTTTCGTTTAATAAAAAACTAATCTGAAACGATAGATCATAAACGTGAAAAAAAAAATGTTATTTTAAACATTCACTAAGCTGGGGAACATAATATATTCTATAAGTAAATGGTCTCTTGTAGCAAATCTGTAGCATGTAATAGTGCTAAAATTGAGAAAAACAATAACTACTATACTCGTTTATTCGATGATAACTAAAAAAAAAAAAACTAAAAATCTAAATAAATTACATAAAAACCAGTTATTTTTAGTTAATAAGATTTTTTTATTTTAGTTTTTATGAGATAGCAGAGAAAATTTTAAAACTAGGCTAAAGGTATATTAGGCCTTTGTCTATAACATATAAAAAAACTAGTACAGACTAAAACAAGCATAGTATACATGATCACATAATTATATGAGTATGTACGACGAAAACAAATTTTCCTGGATTTAACCACAAAAAATAGAATGAAAAGTCATCTTTGGAGTCAGAAACTAAATATACACACAGGTGAAAAAGCAGGTTTGTTTTTTAATGATACAAGTAAGCTTTACAGTTGTATTATATTTATGTATTAAAGAAGAAACAATTAAAACTAAGATGCCACTAGAATTATACAACAAATTGAATGCTCTTTGAAACAAGATAACATTTCTAAACTATAAACATTAAAATTAAAATTTGCACCAACGTCTATGCTTTGAAAAGTGCTTGATGAAAATTAAGCAAACTAGCCTGGCTGCCGCCTGGTGATGTTAAGCGACGATAGTTAATTAGTATCGTCTAAACTTTTCAACTGAACGTTCAGCATAACTGACACTATGGTATACGACACCCGTAACGTCTGAAAACAGAATGATTTAACTATAGAGAATAGGTGTTTATAAATTAATTACAGTATTTTTAATAATCAAAACATATTACTGTGCCTTGATAAATTCAAGATATTTACCAAACTTACACTCAAAAATAACTCCAGGTTGACGACTTTTTTCGGGGTAGCTTTGCATTTAAGTTGGTTCGCATTGTTCATTGCCATTGCTAAGAGTAACAACTTTTTAAATCGAATATCCATTGCTGTCCAGTCACAACTGTACAATCCGAAATTCACACCATCTTTCTAAACACATAGCATATTTTAGGAAATACAGCTAAAATGTTTCTTAATTTGATCTAAATTACTTTCTCGTTAATTTCATCCAAAAAATATGAGTACATAAATTGATTAACACCAGCAGCTCCACAAATACTAATTAATTGCAATAAACTCCTAAGATCGTATGAGCGCGTCACCAATTGCTAAAGACGAATAAAATATAGATTAGTCAATCATTAGTTATAGTTATGGTATTTTAATACCAATGATATGATAAAACAGCCAGTTATCAGCGAACAGGAACAAACAACAATCTGTAGTAATGCTATGCGTCGGACTACGGTGTAAAATTCTTTCGTATACCTAAGAAAATACATTTTTTTTTATTGATTATACATTTAAAGTAAGTATGTGATAAAGAATTATCAATTAGATTTATATTTTACATTGATAAATAATACTAAGTGGTATAGTAATAACGAACGGATACAAGTAATGCTTACAAATGCAACCTTTGACAATCCGAAATGATTAATTTCAAGTCTTCGTACATTTGATTTTGCTCCTCTAAGCACATAAAAAAAAATCCTAAGTTAAATAAATTGTGAGTTGATGAGCTACAGTTGATAGCTACATGAAAATGTCTTCTATGAATGTAAAATAACCGACACGGTATAAACTATAGAGCAGTAAGCAGTTAGCGATGTTTACTACCCTAAATCAGGCTAATAACTAATTATAAAGTGCAAGTTCTTATGGATCTGTTGGTTTACCAGTAGTATTTATTAGTTTCACCTTTTAAATACGCTTCTATGCGAACATTTTAACACAGCACACCTTCCATCTTGCTTTATCACTTACTTATTTTGTTCATGTTGTGTCCGAACGACATCAATCCTGTTGCTATAGTGTCATATTGAGTAGCTATTGCCCAGCACGAAGAGAAAAAATAAAAATCAAACATCCACGTAAAATATAATACGAAAAATCCGATTAATGTTTCATTTATGTAAAAAAAGTAAAACAATTTTGCGTACGTTTTTTCGGATACGGGATAATAAAAATTGATAACATTCTTACGGACAAAGTCAGTCGAATCTTGTATATACATTTCATAATAATTTAATATAATTGGTGATAACACCCATATAGCTAGAACTGGGAATGTCAAAGAAATATAAAAACAACAAAACATTTTATTTCGATTTTTCAGCGATAAAAGTTTTTCCTTACTTAATTGACATTGGCGACTAACCAGAAGATCAGAACGTGTAACGTTTAAGGTGTTTAAAATATGTTTACCATTAAACAATACTGTCACAAATTTTAGGAAAACTAACAAATATTGAACATAAACTGTAACTATTTGACCTAAATCGTCACTTTTCATAACACGATAATGAAAAACTTTAAGCGACAAACCAATGACGCTGTACATAACTATTAAAGCCGAGTACGATAATAAGATGAAGTTCATTTTCTGAAATCTTTTAATGATGTAATAAAATATTTGATGAATTATGTTGAATCCGATGTTGGTCGTCACCCATCTAGCATTCGATAAGTCATCCATGATTTTTATCTCGGTATCGTTGTTGTCTACCTGAAATAATATATTTTGTAAATCAAAAGTTAACCACTGTGCAAACTATGCACAGTGTGTAAAGTGTATACTCTTTAGTAATCTTATGCTATTTGTCTCGTCAATCAAAATTAAACTGTATATTATATTTGGATCCTTAACCTGCTACTTTGAGAACAGTTGATTGTTTCAATACAACTTCGATTCCCGTAATCTGTTTCCCGGTTAATCATTTTTCTCTCTTCCTTTTGTGGATTTAAAGGAATTAACTTTTATTAGCAAGGTATAAATTACATTGCGAGTAAGTTATGCAAAACCTACCTCTTAGAACTAAGAAGAAGGGAACTCCTATTTATAGGTGTATAAAATTAAGTTATATTATGCTATTTGTGCCGTGAGCTAAATTTGTTTAATTTTTTCTAACTGCTGCTTAAATATGGTTGACTTTTATGAACATTAGTTATTCAAAAACTTCACCAGCTAGTTTTTAGGTGGCAAAAAAGTTTTTCAATAAAAGCGGACAATTTACAATGTATTTTGTATCTGAATTTTAGAATACAAAATACTTGGAACTTGAAAACATAATACAAGATAATAAATACAAAATGTATTTGAAATACATATTTTAGATACTGCTTATCCCTGCCTACAGATCCACAGAACCCTTTCTTGAATTTACACAACATATAAAAAATCACGGAAAATAGGTAAGTTCATTAATAATTAATAAAAAATTATAATCTCAACAAAAATAACTAACAAAGCTTAATAATATAACAACGTACGCTGACATTCAAAACAAAAAAAGCCCCAAAAAATAGCAGCCATTTGGAACTACACTGGTGGCTGACACAAGCCACAAAACTCCGAGAAATCAAGAGCTCGATTTTAAGGTGGAACAATAAAAATTTACTAGGAGAGTTCGGTACTAAATAGATTATCTACTTATTGGGCATGCCAGACTCGCCCACGTATACCTTATGGCACGGTCTAATCCACAGTTTTGTAAGACCCGTTAGAGTACCTAACAGTGAAATACATAATGACCCAATGCAGAAAATACAGTAACAAACGGGTAATACTGAAATTATGAACCTTGTGGTGTATGTATGAGCTTTTTGGTAAAAAAAATATATCTAATTGCATTTGCTGCCGATGTTGTAAATTTAATACCAATAAAAAAAATAACATGTATAGCAACGAGTTATAGCAATATGTTATCCTACACATAAATTCAATATTTTTTTTAAATTCCATGTAAACCTCTTATATAAATTATAAGAGACCAGCGATCCATATGATGTTTTTTTAAGTTAAGAATTTTATTTGCTAGAATTTTCGGTAAACACATTCAAATAGAGAAAAATATTTCAAATGCAATCCGGGTGTTCTTAACAAAAGATAACACAAAACTAAAAATCTCCCAAAACAGTATAAATATAATCTGTAAATCGGTAAAATTATGGTAAAATTGGTAATATCATAATGTTCAATTTTTAATACATTTAGTTTTATGATAATATTATAATATTTCAATGATATAACACGGAGTTAGAATACCTAATTGTACTTGATTAATGTCTACAAACCTGATGGCGAATAGGAAATGTTTTTTCGTTGACTTGATAATATTTCCAAGCACGTAGAATAAGACTGATAAAATACAAGCTACTCCTTCAACAGTAGAACTAGTATAATATGGCTATGGTGACTGGTGTAGAACAACTGGTAGTTAAACTAAGAACACCGCCGTTTAAATTTCATGGTGATCTATTGTGATGCCCATTAATGTTATATCATAAAATATTAAAAATAATGTTCAAAATACCTACAGCTTGTTTATTTATTACAACGGACTACGTTTATAAAAATGGGGTCTAAGGCTATTTAAGAACCATAACCCCGTTATTAGTTTACCATAGTAATTTTCTTAAAAATATAAAGGCGCACTTTAATAAAAAATGTATTTTTCTACTGAAAAATTGTGTGTGTATCTTATTCATGTATATAAATTGTATGGCCTATATGAAATATTAAAATATTCATAGGGGCTAAGCGATTTTTAATTAACCTATAACCTTAGAACTACGTACTAAATGTCCGCTTGCGTGTTAAAGGCATTAAACAAAAAATATTGAGGTATAATGAAACATCAAATATATGAAAAATTTATTTTAAACAAAAATAAATATTGATAGAGTTCCTCTTCCGAGTTTCAATGTCATTTTTGGGTTCTGTGATTATTTATGTCGAAAACGTAGATTAATTATTTATTTACTCGTATGACATTATTAACAAACATTAACAATACAAAATAAACTATAAACATAAATAAAAAGATAAACCTAGATTAATGTTGAGTCCCAGCAAAAGCCATGTAAATAAATTTTGTTCATTACTTTGAGCTAATTAAGAATTTTTTTTTAAAATACTTACTTGTCTTTTCTATTTATAATAATAGAATATATTATTACTAGTACAGTTTAAAACAGTAAATTCTAAACCAAGCATAGTATAAATCAGCACATAAACAAATAACCAAAACTAGATCCAAAAACCACTATGCTCTTTTCTTTTTGTACCTTTATTTCTTAGCTTAAATATACTATCTCTATTATTGTAGACGTATGTACGAAGAAATAGTTTTGGTTAAAAATTAACCTGGATTTAGACACAGAATTTAAAATAAAAAGTCTTTAGTTTCTGACTCCGTAGATGGAGTCAGAAACTAAATGTAAACACCTAAAGAATGCAGAATTTTTTTGTTTTATGATACAAGTAAGTTTTACAGTTATACATATATGTTATATATATACTAAATGTATACACCTGGGAAAGGCAAGATTTTTTTTTAATGATACAATTAGTTTTTACAGTTATACGACTATTTATTAAAGAATAAACAATTAAAACTAAGATGCCACTAGAATTATACAACAAGTTAATGTTTTACATTTTTTTTTTGGTGTGACAAGAATTCTAAGTTGTAAACATTAAAATTAAAATTTGCACCAATGTTTATGCTTTGAAAAGTGCTTGATGAAAATTAAGCAAACTAGACTGGTTTCCGCCTGGTGATGTTAAGCGACGATAGTTAATTAATATCGTCTAAACTCTTCAACTGAACATTCAACATAACTGACACTATCGTATACGACACACGTAAAGTCTGAAAACAAAATGATTAAACGATAGGCAATAGATTTTACGTAATGATGACTTAGTGATCCCATTTCGTATACATTAAAAAATTAAAAAACAAAATAGTACTTTAATAAATTCAAGTTAATTACAAAACTTACACTCAAAAATAACTCCAGGTTGACGACTTTTTTCGGGGTAGCTTTACATTTAAGTTGGTTCGCATTGTTCATTGCCATTGCTAAGAGTAACAACTTTTTAAAGCGAATATCCATTGCTGTCCAATCACAACTGTACAATCCGAAATTCACACCATCTTTCTAAGCACATAGCATATTTTAGGAAATACAGCTAAAATGTTTCTTAATTTTATCTAAATTACTTTCTCGTTAATTTTATCCAAAAAATATGAGTACATAAATTGATTTACACCAGCAGCTACACATATACTAATTAATTGCAATAAACTCCTAAGATCGTATGAGCGCGTCACCAATTGCTAAAGACGAATAAAATTTAGATAAGTCAACTATTAGTTATAGTTATGGTATTTTAATACCAATGATATGATAAAACAGCCAGTTATCAGCGAACAGGAACAAACAACAATCTGTAGTAATGCTATGCGTCGGACTACGGTGTAAAATTCTTTCGTATACCTAAGAAAATACATTTTTTTTTATTGATTATACATTTAAAGTAAGTATGTGATAATAGAATTATCAATTAGATTTATATTTTACATTGATAAATAATACTAAGTGGTATAGTAATAACGAACGGATACAAGTAATGCTTACAAATGCAACCTTTGACAATCCAAAATGATTAATTTCAAGTCTTCGTACATTTGATTTTGTTCCTCTAAGCACATAAAAAATAATCCTAAGTTAGATAAATTGTGAGTTGATGAGCTACAGCTACATGAAAATGTCTTCTATGAATGTAAAATAACCGACACGGTATAAACTATAGAGCAGTAAGCAGTTAGCGATGTTTACTACCCTAAATCAGGCTAATAACTAATTATAAAGTGCAAGTTCTTATGGATCTGTTGGTTTACCAGTAGTATTTATTAGTTTCACCTTTTAAATACGCTTCTATGCGAACATTTTAACACAGCACACCTTCCATCTTGCTTTATCACTTACTTATTTTGTTCATGTTGTGTCCGAACGACATCAATCCTGTTGCTATAGTGTCATATTGAGTAGCTATTGCCCAGCACGAAGAGTAAAAATAAAAATCAAACATCCACGTAAAATATAATATTAATAATCCGATAAACGTTTCATTTATATAAAAAAAGTAAAACAATTTAGCGTACGTTTTTTCGGATACGGGATAATAAAAATTGATAACATTCTTACGGACAAAGTCAGTCGAATCTTGTATATACATTTCGTAATAATTTAATATAATTGGTGATAACACCCATATAGCTAGAACTGGGAATGTCAAAGAAATATAAAAACAACAAAACATTTTATTTCGATTTTTCAGCGATAAAAGTTTTTCCTTACTTAATTGACATTGGCGACTAACCAGAAGATCAGAACGTGTAACGTTTAAGGTGTTTATAATATGTTTAACGTTTAACAATAAAGTCATGAATTTTAAGAAAGCCAACAAATATTGAACATAAGCAGTAACTATTTGACCTAAATCTTCGTTTATCATGTCACGATAATGCAAAAGTTTAAGCGAGAAACCGATGAAGCTGTACAAAACTATTATAGCTGAGTACGATATTAAGACTAAGTTCATTTTCTGACATCTTTTAATGATGTAATAAAATATTTGATGAAGTATGTTGAATCCGATGTTGGTCGTCACCCATCTAGCGTTCAACAAGTCATTCATGATCGATTGTTGTTGTCCACCTGAAACAACATATTTTTTAAATACAAAATTTAACCATTGTGCAATAAAATTGTATACTCTTGAGTAATAGTATGCTATTTGTCTCGTTAGTCAAGTATAACCAGCAAAGTAAGAAAGTTTTAAATTAAGGTTCTGTATTTACAAATGAACATCAAAGCGTTTATTTGAAAGCGATTTTATTCTATTTTATCACTTTTATTTATAATAATTCTTGTAGACCTGTGACCTCTCCGTTTCCTCATTGCTTTGATTACATTATGCCATTACTCTACTGTACTAGTCCTCTCGGATAAAATCACTTTCAAATTAACGCTTTGATGTTCATTTGTAAATACAGAACCTTAATTTAAAACTTTTTTACTTTGCTGGTTATACTGTGCTTGGTTTGGACTGTACTGGCTTGAAAATACTAACTACCGATTTGCATCGAAGCGTTTTTTCGAAAGTGATTTTATCACTTTCAGATTTAAAAATTCCTGTAAACCTGTAACCTCCCCGTCCCCACTATGCCCCGACTCAACTATGCTCCGTCCCCACTATGCCCCGACCCCACTGTACTGGTTTTTTTTTTTTTTGCAAAAACGTAGTGGACCAAATAACACATATACAATGTCTTGTTAAATTTATTTAGAATGGTGGACGATTCATGTTTCAATCGTTTGTATTCCATAGTTTAAATTATAATTGTTTATTCTCAATAAAATTAATATTTATATTTTATATACTTCCATTAGAGCAATCTCACACAAACTATTTATACTTCATAGATTATATTATTTCAAAGCTCTATTATACTCTTTTTTACTAGATTGACAATGTACAAAACAAAATGCAACTAAAAAAACCTTTTTATAGATCCTTAAAATATAAAGGGTGGGGTAGTGGAACGGGTTTTCCCATTTAAATACATTGGAAAATCGTCCGTTTTACTGCCCCACCTGTATATTAATTTCTTGTTATTTTCTAAAGAAAAATTGATTTTCTTACATTTAAATTGAAATAAATCGTATACTGGTAATGTGATTGAGAAAACAATAAATTTTACCTACATGTATTACTTATTAGTTAAATATTACTAACGTGTATAGCCACTAGCGGTCGGCTGTTAACTGTTATTTAACAATAACCTTTTATGAATATTTTAATAATAGTATAGGAGCAGTATCATGATGTTAAATGTTCACGAGATTTGATCTAGTCATAAAATAAAATACTATCTTTCATGACTTTTAAATACTATTAAAATATATCTTAACTTGAACACAGTAATAAAATAATGAAATATTTTATACAAAATTAGAGCTAAAAAGTTGTAAACTAAAAAATTAAAACTAGCACGAAGCAGATTACATATCTTATATAAGATAATTTAAACAATCAAGCGTTAATCTCTTTAAATGAATAACAGTATAACAATATGCAAAACAATAGTTTTCCTTTAAAAAAATTGTGTAATAAAAAATACATTTTGGGGCGGTAAACTGCATAAAAACCAACACTTAATCTGAATCCAAAAAACAACAGTCCTCTTCATAATTTGCAGGTAGTTGGAACTTATATACTCATAGTTGACCTTCGGTAAGGTAATATAACACAGGCGATAAAATAACGAGATAACGACAGTGATTTTGTTGTATCAGAATCATTAAGTGTCTTAATAAGTACACGGATAGGTTCTTTTCCCAATAAATCGTGGGTCTACTATAATCAGTTACACGATTTAGTCGTCTGTGATATCATGTAATAAACACAATATTATGATAACGACCAAAGGGCCCTAACCTAACCTAACACGGATAGACGTTACCAACTGATAGTTTTTAGTGTCTGTTCGTTTCTCACATCTGGTACACCGGGTCTTTAGTTAAAAAAAAAAAAAAAATTGAATTTGTGTAAACTTTAAGTCAAAAGTGGTACTTGAGCACAAAACCTAATAGTATCATTCTGCATAGATATACATAAAATTGTTTTAATGATTTGATCAATTTTTTTTAAAGATTTTAATGTTTTTGTTAAAATATACGAAATCTGCGAAAACACAGTTTCCCGGCAATTTAAAAAAAACTGTAGTGCCGAATTTTTTTCCCGTTTAATATGTTATGGGTACATATGAGTTCCAACTACTGGCCAATTTTCAACCCAAAAGTTTTAAAATTACCGCTAAAAACCCCGAAAAACAAAAAAACTTGTACCCCCCTAGGGGGGTGGGAAATGGGTATAGTTTAAGTTTGACACAACTGACGTGTGCGGGCATGCCAAATAATTATTTCTTATACATTTCATTTCGATCCGACTCTTTTTCTCGAAATTATAGCCAGTAAAAGTTCTAACTTAAAAACTCGTACGGTTTTTTTTTTGTTTTTTCAACTTTCGTCTGTGAAGAATTAAACTTTATCAACTTTTACCCCCCCCCCCCCCCAAGTACCAACTAGATGAAATTTGCGATTTATAGAGTTGCTACTCGAAGGAATTGGTCCAGTATTAAAAAAGTTACAGTGTATATAGATAAAAAAAAAACACACATCAGAGTAAAACCAATACCTTCTCGCTTTGCATCGAAGCTAAAATTGACATTTTAAAAGAGGACCTAACAGTGAAACACTTACTGGCCCATATTTATTTCGGGTAAGACAATCAAATCGAGACAGATATTTCAATTGTAATCCGGGTGCTATTAACATACGAAAACTGAGAAGTATAATCTATAAATAGGTACAGTTATGATAAAATTGGCAAAATGAAAATATTTAATTATTAACACATTTGGTTTTATGATGGTATAGTGCTATAGTAAACTAACACTGGGTTAGAATACTTGTGTCTGATGTATGTTTACAAACCTGATGTGCAAATATGAATATTTTGTTCGCTGACTCGATTATATTGCCGAACACGTAGAATAAGACTGGCAAAATATAAGCTACACCTTCAATAGCAGATCGACTACAATACGGCTATGGTGACTGGTGTAGAACAACTGATAGTTAAACAACGAACACTGTCGTACGATGCATTCTATCATGATACACATTTAGGTAATATCATAAAATATTAAAAATAATGATTTAAATACCTACAGCTTATTTATTTATTTTGACAGAATAGGTTTATAAAAACGGGGTCTAGGGCAATTTAAAGACTATAACCCGTTATTTGTTCAGAATAGCAAATTGTATTAAAAATGCAAAAGCGCACTCTAATAAAAAATGTATTCTGCTTCTGCAAAATTGTTCGTGTGGCTTTTTTATATATATATATAAAGCGTATGACCTATTTGACATAGTTAAAATATTCATAGTCTAAGCTATTTTTAATTGGCCAATAGCCTTAGAGCTCCATACTGAATGCCTGCTTGTGTGTGGAAAGCATTAGGGTTGAAAAATAATCAGTTATTGTAGAAAACATATGCAACACATTTTTAGGTAAATTCGTTGCTCTAACCAATGACACTTATTGCTTTAGTATAGATATTTTGGGAGTCTTTAGTTTGGTTAGTTATGCAACAAATTAATATTTAAAAACTGCGATTATTTTGTTTGCTTCATTTTTTACTTAAACATTCTAAAGATTAGCAGTACTTAAGATTATTCTTTCTTTTACACTTTTGTTACACTGCTCATCAGTTACCTTTTTTCTCTCGATTCCGAACAGTTTAGAAACAGCCCCATATTTATTGATTAAGATTTTTTGCGGATGTTGTGGTTTTCTAGATGTTTTGTAGGGTTAATTCTCAATGGAGGCACTAGATGTAGATCCATTTTATCTATAAAACGTATTAAACGGTCGAGATAGAAATTCGTTTCTTTTGTTATACATAAAAACACATACAGCGGATAAAAAAAAAAATTAGTCCTAAGTTCATTATTTTTTTAAACAAAATATCGCGTTTGACCTATGACTTGACCTCACAACGTCCACCGTACAGCGGTCAGTTTAGGAAGTGGGTACTCATAGTTAATGATATTATAGCTACTATAATGGGAACTTGTGCTACACATAATGACATACCCGGTCAGGATGCCGTTTTAATATTTTTGTCGGTTAAGTATTGGTAAAATGTTTTTTTTTTTTTTTGTAACCGGTTTCCCACAACACACTGGGGGGGGGGGACATGCGATTGTGGGCGGTGAATGAAAGAGGTCATACCTGTGGGTTAATTATACCAAACCGTTCGGCCGACAATTGCGCAGTAAGCCAAAATCCGTCTGTTGTGTTGTGCCAAGTCATTATCGTCCAAGAACCTACCGGACATGGTAATTATAAAATTATTAACCCGACCGGCCAACCGGAGGTGATTGTCACGACATTGCAATATTTTTCAGTCTTTCCGATTGAACAGCACAGTAAACGATTAACGTGCTTAGAA